GAATTATTGGGTTATTGGAAAAGCCATAGAAAAATATGGAAAAATAGGTCATGACTTTTTAGATGACCCCATATTTCTTGGCAGTCTTCTGGGACCCCCTTCTTTTGGCAGTGAAGCCACATGGGACTGGAGATTTATTTGAGAGAACATGCTCAAGGATGAACTCAATTTCTTGAATCAAGAGCCGTTCATGTTTTCATTTGTGTCTTTCAAAGAATGTTGTCAAAATTGTCAAATGTACTGGCAAACAGTTTATTCTTATAGTCCATCATTACTCTTCAAATGTCTGGGATTGGCAATGGTGTCTCCTCTTTCATTATCAATATTAATAATTTGCATCTTATCTTTTTGTTTTCTTATCAGTCCAGCTAAAGTTTTTCAATTGTATGGATCTTTAAATAAAACAGCTCTGGTTTCATTGATTTTTCTCTATTGTTCATCCATTTATACTGCTTTTATTTTTTAAGGTTTTTTTTTCCTACCATAAGCAAGAGAGAGAAGCACCCAACAGAGTCTTCACCCCATGACTCACCCTCAACCTCCTCCAGCCTAATCACACGTGGTTGCTCAGGGACATCTCCAGATGTGAACCCAGAACTTCCTCAAGTGGACCAGCCTCACAGAGTGCTGCCTTTCCGCTGAACCAGCCCTGCTCGCTGTGTGTTTGATTACCATCCTCACCTTTGTTTTCCATCTTCTCCTTCCTTGGGGTGTAATTTGCTGAGGTCTCTGGTTCCTCCACCCTGTGCTACAGTCTAAAAAGCCCCTCTACACAGAAGGCAGGCTGTGAGTGTAGACCTACCTTATCAGTTATGGCTGTCTCAGGGATCTCGGTCCTACCTGTTGTCCAAGTCTATGATCAGTGTGTTGGTTTTCTACATGGCTGTCATGGGAGGGTAATTGCAGCTGCTATTGCTCCATTATTGCCAGGGGTATGAATCATCATTTTCTTTCTGCAAACTCCAGAGCACTCAGAAGAAGCCAACCCATGCCATGATCCTCATTGTCCTCATGACTGCCCTAACGATCAAATTCAGCAGTCAAATGCCTCCCAAGATACTTATTTCCATCCTAATCCATCACAAGTGCTCATCTGATGAACGATGATGCTGCGGCATGGCACAGGTTACTACCATCCACTTAACATTGACAAGAAACTCAGCACTATGGTCAAGGCCAAGGACACAACAAAACCAAGCCTGAATTACTACATTTCTCCTGGGACCTTTCTGAGACCAATTTCAATATCAGCAGGGACAGTCAGGAGACAAAAGCTACATGTAATTTTGATAAGACGAATTAAAAAATTGCTCATTAAATATTGAAGAATCAAAAAAGCATGAAGACTAGGGTATGAGAGAAGTAGCAACTGCAAGAAGTTACCACCACCCAACGGCAAGAAGACTGACCACGCCGAGGACTCAAGAAGCAGGAAGAGGTTAGAACTATTAATATTTAGACGTTGTGGGGGGTATCACAGAAGCGCAACTCAGACCTCGAGGAATGAATCCAGCTAGCTCACAGCCTGTGTTTCAAAAGGGAGACAACGGAGCTGATTTTTCAAGGGCTGGAAACACTGCAACCTGGAGTCATCTGTGGCTACCAGGTGAAGAAGGTCAAGGGGAGAGAGGGCAACAATGACAGTGAGAGGAAGCTGAGGTGAGAACAGAAAAATGAGATCAAACTTGCAAAGAGCTCCCCTCCAGCCCTGCGTACTTCTCTAGCACCTCCTATTGGCAGAGCCTCACAGGGAGCAGTTGGCTAAGCCCAGTGTGATTTGCAGAGCCCCAGCTCAGCCCAACACCCAGCAAAAAGTCGGAATCCATATGCATCTGAGATGGGCATGGCTCTGCCCCAGGAAAAAGCTTCTGCCCCAAATCCCTCCTTGTGGCCCAACACCCAGCATAAAGCCAGTGCAGATTGCTTGGTGAAGATAGGGGAAATGGAGCTGCAGAAAAATCGCAGGTCATCTCTTTTTGCACACCTCTAACACTCAGAATTAACTCCAAGAAGGTAGGAAGTAACATGTAATCCAGCAGATGACCAGAAAGCACCACCACTGAGCCACAATTTATATGGGAAATCAAGAAAATATCTCTCCCCCAAGGGGAAAGAACAGCCCTTCATCATCCACAGATAGTACAATGGAACTCGTGGAAATATCAGATAAAGAATTTAGGATATTTATAATGACAAAGCTAACAGAGATGCCAGAGCAGAAAGACAACAAACTCCAGAAAATGTAGGAGAAAGAGACAATGAGTTATAGGAGGTGAGAAAGTTCTTCCACAATTTGAAAGAGGAAATGTACACCATAAAAAAGAGTCAAACAGGGAACAGCAGGTGGCGTGGTGATTAAGGCGCTGGACACTCCCACATGGCCAACCAGGGTTCGAGTCCTGAATCTGGTGACTTGCTTTCTCACTTCCTCTCTCTCTCACTCTCAACCTCTGTCTCTCTCTGGTCAAAAATTTAAAAAAAAAATGAATGAATGAATAAATAAAAATAAAATAATTGTTTAAAAAAAGAATCAAACAGAGCTGTTAGAGGTGAAGGCTGCAATATAGCAAATCAAAACCTCCCTTGAAAGTATTAGAAGTGCAGAAGATCTAAACTCAGATGTAGAAGATAGAACCTCTGACCTCGAAAAATTCACCAAAAAGACTGATAAAATAACTCCAAAAAAATGAGAATAATATAGTAGTATTACTAGATACCATTAGACACCCAAATATCCAGATAATCAGTATCCCAGAAAATGAAGAAACTAATCAGGGCATTGATAATCTATTCCATGAAATCCTGGAAGAAAACTTTCCAAACCTAGAGAGGCATTCAAATATCCAGAGCCCCAGCTCAAAGTTCAACAAAGCCTCCCATAAGACAGGGAAGGTTTTGGGTTGGCAAGTAATATGGTGGTTAAGGTGTTGAACTCCCACATGGCTGATGATGGTTCAAGTCCTGGACCCGGCAGTTTATTTTCTCTTACTTTCTCTCTCTCTGGCAAAATTTAAAAAATAATGACAATGAATAAAATTAAATTAAAGAATTCTTTTTTAAAAAGTGTGGGTTTGGTACAGAACAACAAAATCTGGACAAATGGAGGAACAGTGTATCAGAGAACAGTAGTGCATCCGTGTTAAACTTCCTAAGCCTGACCAATATCTTTGATTGTGAAGGAGGATGCCAAGACTCTTAGTGATGCCCATAGAAGTATCTGAAGACAAAATGCCACAAGGCAGAAACTTGTGCTTACAAGACTCAGCAAAAGAAAGACGGGGGGCTTTCTCTGTAGTGAAGCAATTGCTCAAGAGAAGCCGGATCCCACATGGCAACAGTTCAAAGCTGTGCCCCAGTCAGCCCAAAACACCTCAGGTGCTCAGGATCCAATGGACCAGAGGATCGAGGTGTGACCAGACCCTGCAGAGAGTGTTCATATCTCTCTCTCTCTCCCTCTCATGTGCATGTACTCTATTATAAGTAAAGGAGAGTGTTCATATCTCTCTCTCTCTATCTCTCTCTCTCATGTGCATGTACTCTATTATAAGTAAAGAAAAATACATATAAAGTTACAAGGAGGGTCTTCAAAAAGTCCATGGAAATGTATATTGTGAAAACACTATACATGGATTTCAGTATTTTGCACCAAGATAAACTCATAATTTAATCTCATTTTCCATGAACTTTTTGAAGCTTATGCTTAGTTTGAGAGCACAAATGTGAAAAATGTCAACATTTGGCAAATCTTGTGCTAGTCTTACAGCTTTTCTGTAGAATGGATACTTTTTAAATACAAAGATGAAGGGGACCAGTAGTCAGCGTAATGGCTAGGTCACTGGACTCCCATGTAGCCGAACACAATTTGAGTCCCGGACCTGGTGGCTTAAACTCATGTCGGGCGCATGTGCGTACATGCCCAAGATCCTGAGAGGAGAATGGAGGAGAAGGGATTGTGGCGTGACCATCTCCCCTGGGGGGTGATTTCTCGCTTTTCTGTATCTCTGTCTCTCTGTCTTTCTGGTGAGTGCACGCACCCTATAGCAAAAACCACTCCAAAAAATAAACAAACAGATACAAAGATGAGGAAAGAGCTGGTAGGACCTAGACTCTTGGAGGGTCAACAGATGAACTTGTTTTGTTTCCCTTTGTGTATCAGCTGTGTCTCTCCTATGGCAGGACACTAGAGGGTGACATAGAGTTTGAAAATTTGACTTACACTCACGCCAGGCACGTGTGCGTGCATGCCCAAGATCCTGAGAGGAGAATGGAGGAGAAGGGATTGTGGCGTGACCATCTCCCCTGGGGGGTGATTTCTCGCTTTTCTGTATCTCTGTCTCTCTGTCTTTCTGGTGAGTGCACGCACCCTATAGCAAAAACCACTCCAAAAAATAAACAAACAGATACAAAGATGAGGAAAGAGCTGGTAGGACCTAGACTCTTGGAGGGTCAACAGATGAACTTGTTTTGTTTCCCTTTGTGTATCAGCTGTGTCTCTCCTATGGCAGGACACTAGAGGGTGACATAGAGTTTGAAAATTTTCTTCTTGTTTTGAAACAAGTAAACATCACTGAATTCACAAGGCATTATTAAGGAGGGTACTGCTGTATGAGTTCGATTCTCCTTGGCCTGATATGTGGGGCATCTCCTCGACACCAGCCATCCCTCTGTCCCTGTAAATAAGAAACTGGGTGAGAGGACACTGCTTCTCCTCATCCTCTCCCCTCCTCCTGGCATGCCCACCTTTGGCTGCCTGAAGAGCTCAGGCTGGGAGATTCTCCTCTTTGCAAGAGCAGACACATTTTCATTGCAAGGACAAGTCCCACTGGTAGCTTGGTACCTGGCTGACTCCTCTGCATCATCGATAGAGAGAAGTGGTCCCTAAAGGGCCCTAAGGGGGTTGGTGTCTGAGCCGGGAGTGCCGGTGAGGTCACAGCTTGGCCTGGCTCCACCCAGAGATCTCGTGGTTTCCTCTGCTTGCCAGGCCTGCCTGGAAGGCTGCAGGGAGGGTCTGGGTCTGTCTTGCTGCCCATGCCTGGGCAGGAGCCGAGTAGAGGAGAAAGAGTCCCCAGAGAGTCTCCTTCCTGACTGGCCCCATCCTAACCGGACACCATGTGACTCCCGGGAGCTGGTAGACACTAAGCAGAAAACACCCAGAAGCTCTGGGGGCTGGAGCCCTCGGGCCCAACTAGAACAGCTCCGAGCACCCAGGCCAGAGCGGGCAGAACCCAGCTGGATCCTCCACCCAGAACGGTGAGCAGCAGACGTGTGCATGTGGGGTGGGGGGTTCTGGGACCAGCTAGGGGCTTTGGCATTTTCTGGGTGTTGGAGCTCTTCTGCCAGCCAGACGGGAGAGAGGGCTGGGAACAGGCAGTACTCTGATGCCGGCTCCGTCCTCCACCCTCTGACCTGGGCTGTTCCAGCACCCAGCTCGAGGCTGACTCCAACAGGGGATGCTCCCCTGCTAGAGGAATGATGGCTCCCCTACTGGAGGCTCTGATCCAAGTCTCCCCATTTCCCTCAGCATTGATGTGTTTCACGGTGGGAGGGGAAAGCTGGCCGAGTCTGAAGGAGGGTCAAGGAGACAGCACGGGGGCCTCTCCTTTAGGCCACACCCAGGCCCTGCTCCTGGGCCAGCTCATGGCTCATCAGTCCTGACTGTCCACAGCAGGGAGCAGAGCCAGGGCCAGGGTGCCCAAAGCCCACCCCAGGCAGAGCACCCTCCTGTGTCCCCACCCCACACTGCTCCAGGGTTGCAGGGAGAGACAACACCAGCTGGGCCTGGCTGCACCTTGCCCTCCACATCGCTGACCCTAAGGGCAGGGCTCAGTCGGTCCTGGATCCTGCCCTTGTCTGTCTGCACACGGCCTCCCCTCTCTTCCTTTCCCTGCTTCTCTCTCTTCATTTCTTTCTCTTTCATGTGCTCCCCATCTTCCCTCCATATCCTTCCACCACTCTAGGCTCTCTGCCTGGCAAACACAGGGTCCGTGTCCTCCTCGGCCCCTGTCCTGGTGGTTGTGGTCGTCCCTTGTATCCTTGCAGGATCCTTAGGGAGTAGAGGTGAGCAAAGAAGCTGTCTCTTGGGAGGGGAGAGAGACCAGCCATGCCAGATCAGGGCCACAGAGCTGGAGAAAGCCCCTTACTGCTTTGGGGCCAGAGCTTCCTCCATGGTGGGCAACTGCATGACTAGGATGGGGACACAGTGTGGATGCATGTAAGGCACCCGAAATCTCATCTTTCTTGTCTCCAGGCCTGAGTGTTGGACCACCAGGCTTTCCTCAGTGGGAGAGCATCTGTCCCCATCCCTACCACATCAGCCCACTTGGGGTCTCTCCAGACTGGGTCTGGCACAGGCGAGGTATTCCCATCCCCTCCATCACCCACTGCACCCTGCCTTCCTGGGCCCACAGGGGGAAAATCCCTTCATCTCCACCTGGGGCTCCCTAATGGGCCACATAGGCTGAGGGAGCCAGCCTGGACCACAGACAGTCGTCGGCTTCCTCAGGGGCAGGATAGGGACCTCTGCTCTGCTGAGGCAGGGATGGCCTCAGTCTGTTGTTTTCTCCCCTCAAATAGGAAACAGCAGTGAGCTGAGGCTCTGAACAGAGAAGGTGACCAGGCCCCACAGGGTGACCAGCACCTTCCCGGGGCCAGCTCCACCTCCAGCATCTTGGGCCAAGCTCACCCTCCTGCACTGCTGTTAGAGCTCCCTGTCCCTGAAGGGGAAAACAGGAGCTCTGAGCACCACCTTGAGGTAGGAGGGAGCCACTAACACCAGCCATGGGGATGTCTGCTCTGTAACCTCCATCATCCACCCTCACCCCACTCTCCCAGCCCCTCCCAGGAAATAAGAGGACCAGCCACCACCAAGGTAAGAGGGAGACACCCAGATGTCAGCCCCAATTTGAGCCATCCCATCTCCACAAAGAGAATCTGTCCCTGAGTGCTCAGGGACACATGATGGGACTGGTTGACCTCAAGTGGCAGGACAGGAACAGGTAACCTCAGAGGAGTCTCCTGCTCCTGGCACTGGGTGGTCCTAGGATGTATGCTTCCTCCCAGATTTGAAAGAGTTAAGAGGCCCCCTATGTGTGCAGTCAAGCTGACAACTGCACCCCCCCCTTCAGCACCAGGCCCTGTCCCCATGAGCCAACTGCCTAGAGGGCAGCAGACAGCAAGAGGCCCAAGGCCCTCTCCTGGCCTCGCCATCAGTCAAGCCCCTCTTCTGTCTGTAGGGGAGGGTGAGGGGCAGTTGAGAAGGATGGGGCCTCCCCAGTGCCTCTAAGAAGGTTAGAGTACTGTTGGGGTGCTATAGGGCCATGGCAAGGGGGGGAGGCAGGTTTCCACATGCTAAGCCAAGCTGGAAGGCTCAAGACTCAGAGCTCTCTGGCAAGAGCCACACAGCGAAAGTCAGGCAAGGCCTGAAAGAGTTAAGAGTTGCTTTAAGATGACGAAAACACAACCCGCCCACTGCTGGGAGTGGTCCCTCTGCGGTCACACCACACAGTGCATCCCTGCAGCCTCTCCATTTAAAACAAGACATCTGTCTCTCTGTTGGTCTTCAGCAAGCGCACACACACTATGGCAAAACCCTAAACAAACAAACAGAAAACACAAGACATCACTTGCAACAGGGAGCCCCAGGGGTCTTAGCCTTCCTTCCTTTCTCCCCCTGGTCCCATCCCTCGCCCCCCAGGTCTGCAGGATCCAGGCCTCGCTGAAAGCACTCAGAGCCTCCACCCTCAGCAGCCTCTGAGACTGGGGCTTCCTGAGCACTGACAGAGGCTTCCTGGCGAGTGCCCTTGCAGTCAAGCTGACAACTGCACCCCCCCCCTTCAGCACCAGGCCCTGTCCCCATGAGCCAACTGCCTAGAGGGCAGCAGACAGCAAGAGGCCCAAGGCCCTCTCCTGGCCTCGCCATCAGTCAAGCCCCTCTTCTGTCTGTAGGGGAGGGTGAGGGGCAGTTGAGAAGGATGGGGCCTCCCCAGTGCCTCTAAGAAGGTTAGAGTACTGTTGGGGTGCTATAGGGCCATGGCAAGGGGGGGAGGCAGGTTTCCACATGCTAAGCCAAGCTGGAAGGCTCAAGACTCAGAGCTCTCTGGCAAGAGCCACACAGCGAAAGTCAGGCAAGGCCTGAAAGAGTTAAGAGTTGCTTTAAGATGACGAAAACACAACCCGCCCACTGCTGGGAGTGGTCCCTCTGCGGTCACACCACACAGTGCATCCCTGCAGCCTCTCCATTTAAAACAAGACATCTGTCTCTCTGTTGGTCTTCAGCAAGCGCACACACACTATGGCAAAACCCTAAACAAACAAACAGAAAACACAAGACATCACTTGCAACAGGGAGCCCCAGGGGTCTTAGCCTTCCTTCCTTTCTCCCCCTGGTCCCATCCCTCGCCCCCCAGGTCTGCAGGATCCAGGCCTCGCTGAAAGCACTCAGAGCCTCCACCCTCAGCAGCCTCTGAGACTGGGGCTTCCTGAGCACTGACAGAGGCTTCCTGGCGAGTGCCCTAAAAAGAGACTCAGGTCAACAACCAAGGATGGAAATGGGAGAGGAGCCTCCTTCCATGGGCCTCACCGGTCCCGTCACCCACCCTGACCTTGACCATCCTGTCTCCTCGGATGTGGGAGGGCAGAATCCTGAGCCCCAAACTCAGTTGTCATTGTGATTGCAGGAGTATTTGGAGAAAGGGAAAAAAGAGTGGAAGAAATTTAGCCCTCCCGGGGCTCCCACCTGATCTCGCACTTTGTCAGCAATGGAGTCTGGAGAAGCCGGACAGCACATGGTGTCTCCCGATGCCATCCAGGAAGATGTGACATTCAACCTCATCATCCTGTCCCTCACTGAGCTCCTCAGCCTGGGCGGGCTGCTGGGGAACGGAGCAGTCCTCTGGCAGCTCAGCTCCAATGTCTACAGGAACCCCTTTGCCATCTACCTCCTGGACGTGGCCTGCGCCGACCTCATCTTCCTCAGCTGCCACATGGTGGCCGTCATCCCTGACTTGCTGCGTGGCCAGCTGGACTTCCCAAGCTTTATCCAGACCAGCCTGGCCACACTGAGGTTCTTCTGCTACATCGTGGGCCTGAGCCTCCTGGCGGCCGTCAGCGTGGAGCAGTGCCTAGCTACCTTCTTTCCCGCCTGGTACCTGTGCCGCCGCCCACGCCACCTGACCACCTGTGTGTGCGCTCTCACCTGGGCGCTGTGCCTGCTGCTGCACCTGCTGCTCAGTGGCGCCTGCACCCAGTTCTTCGGGGAGCCCAGCCGCCACCTGTGCAGGACGCTGTGGCTGGTGGCAGGGGCCCTGCTAGCTGTCCTGTGTTGCGCCATGGGTGGGGCCAGCTTGCTCCTGCTGCTGCGCTTGGAGCGTGGCCCACAGCGGCACCAGCCCCGGGGCTTCCCTGCCCTCATCCTCCTCGCTGTCCTCCTCTTCCTCTTCTGTGGACTGCCCTTCGGCATCTATTGGCTGTCCCGGAACCTGCACTGGCACATCCCCCACTACTTCTACCACTTCAGCTTCCTCATGGCCGGCATGCACAGCGCGGCCAAGCCCGTCATCTACTTCTGCCTTGGCAGCACCCGGGGTCGCAGGATGCGCGAGCCCCTCCGGCTGGTCCTCCAGCGGGCGCTGGGGGATGAGGCCGAGCTGGGTCCTGGGAGGGAGACCTCTCATAGGGGCCTCGTGGACATAATTGCCTGAGCCCTGGAGGTCCCAACACAGCTCCAGCCCATGTGATCAGAGGCTGGGTCAGCAAGCCTTTGACAATGACCTGGGCCATGCGGTCTCAGCAGTGCAAGCCTCGATCCCTGTGCATGAGGCTCCCCTGGGGGCTGCTGGCAACACAGGCTCTCAGCATCTCCAAATGGATGGGCCAGATCTCCAGGAAGGAGGTGCAGGAATATGGTTTTGAAGAAACCTCCCCAGGTGGTTGTCATACACAGAAACTCTGGACAGCTGCTTCTGTAACCACCCCCACTCTATAACAATGAGGTGACCAAGGGAAGAAATGGGGCAGACCTAGACCTCCTCCTGCCACTCCATCCCCAACCACCCCATCAGCCTCAGAGCTGCTGGTGCATTCTGCCAGAGAACACGGGGTTCAGTTCCCCAGGTCACCTCTGTGGAGGCTAAAATTACCCTAAAATGGAAGCCTTGCTTAGGCATGGGATAACGAGAAGTTCAGGGAGCCCTTGGTGGCTAGTCTCACACACCACAGATGAGAGAGCAGAGTCCGCCCGACTCCTGCTGGGGACAGTGAGCCAATCAAGCCCCTGGGTCGAGGTGCGTGAGCTGAGCACCCCACTGAATCACCCAAGGAAGCCTCAGTTACACAGAGACAGACACATCCTGCCTGATGGAGAGGACACCTAAGCTTTGGGAGCCCCTCATCACAGCCACTGGGGCCAGCTGCACAGACAGCTCCCAAATCAGGGCTCACCTAGCTCCTGCTATTCTGTCTGGGCATGAACTCTCTGGAAGACATGTTTCAGGGCCAGCCAAGCTCATTCCCCCTACACATTCTGACCAAAGTGACCGGCAGCCTCCGGGGTAGAGGCCAGCTATGTAACCATCGAGTTAAGCAGGAAAATATGGTAATGTCATAAAGTCACTCGTATCTCATCACAAGGCTCCACACCAATCAGAAACTTTCTAACCACCACCCCAGCATGGATGCTGACGATCTTTCATGTTTAATGTTTCCTTATAGCACAGGAAATGTAGGGGCTCAGAGAACTTTAAATGGGCTGCTGTTGATCATCAGCCCCATTGTTGAAGGCTGTGAGACTTGGGCCTCACCCAGAACTCCAGGAAACCTGCTGCTTACTAGTGTGCCCTGACGTTAAGGTGAGGTACCCTGGTAAGAAGAGAGGTCACTGAGTGCATAGACCTCTCTGCTGATGACCTGGGTCACGTCTCAAAAGTGAATCTTCACTCACTGTGCATGAAGCTCACCTGGGAGTCTATGGGAAAAGCAAGCTCCAGCATCCCCAGACCGGTGGACCAGATATCCAGGGAGGAGGCCCAGGAATATGCATTTGGTCCCACCCACAGCCAGAACAGCCCCACCAAAAACCTGCAGCCAGTTGCTCAGGACAGAGCACAGACCTTCAGCACCTGGACAGCTCCCTGCACGCCTAGCTAGTAGCAGCAGCTGGCTGGCTCTCTCCTGGGCAGGTGCTCCGTAGGAAGGTCCCTTTAGGAAAGCAACCTGGGCTTTACTCTGCCACAGGTTGCTGAGTGTCCGTGAGTCCCGGGCTGTGGGCACAGAGATGAATCAAGCGGTTCACCCACTCAGGAGCACTGGTTCACGGCTGCAATTGTTAAGAGCAGAGAGTTTAGAGCCCACCAGCCTGGGCCGAGCCCAGCCTGCCATCCCTGCTACGTTGCTCAACCTCCCTATGCCTCTGCTTCCTGATCGTGAAATGAGAACTTAATGAGTTAATGCATGCAAAATTATTTGAATTGTGTCCAGCGTTTCAGAAGTCCTGATTGAAATGTTTGTCAATTTTATTGTCACTGACATTCCATATCCAAGTCCACGGGGTGAGTCTGATCCAAAGGCTACGGTGTGTCTGAGAAGCATTTTCTTTGCTTTCTGTAAGTGAACATAATTCTGACTTCCAGCCTCCATGCCTCGAGATGGAAGGATATTTGATCTTGGCTATGACTGAGCTTGTCCCTCCCAAGTCTGGGTGAGAGTCACAGATGCCTACTCAGCATCCTAGAACCAGGCTCCGCCCCCCTCACACCCACTTGGGTTGTGCTGAGGCTCTCACACATCCCTGGCAGGCCTGGGCCCAGGGGTTCCAAGATGCAGGGAGGCCCAGGGGCTATGTCCACCTCTTCAGGAGCTCCTTATAGCCCCCTACAAGGGCCTGACCCCTCCCAATTGTGCTCAAGAGCCAAGCATGCGTGCTCTCTCTCTCCACCTCCAGGACACAGTTGTCAGCTTCAATGATCCAGTTTGGAGAAATGAGAACAGAAAGGGAAGTGGTCTGTCCATAAATTCTGCTTTTGGACCCTGAACATAAATTTCCCCCAGACCAGAAAAGAATCAGGAGGAAAAGCACAGATTCACCCTATGGTCATTTACCCCAATATGGACACCCCAACCTCCAAAGTCCCAGGGGAAACTTTTAATAATGTGGGAAAGTATTCCCATTTTACAGTTGAACACACTGAGGCTCAGAGGTACAACTGCTCAAGACCACAAAGAAGGTGGCAGAGCCAGAAAATGCCTGCCTAGACACTCTCCCACCCCCACATCCTCCACCCTGGGCCCCACACAGGCTGCTTCTGGTCCTCTGCCTGCCCCAGACCCCCTTACTGCATAGGCATGCAGATGACCAGGGATCCTCAGAGTACTCATTGCCCCTCAGAGAGCCCACCTTCAGTATCCAGGGGGTTAGGAGAAGTCTCCAAAGAGACCCAGAAATGTAGCCTCCTTTGAGGTCTCTATGCAAGCTGGGCCCGACTCCACCCCATCCCCTCATGGATGTGACTCAGATATGTCACTGGATGGCTGAGGTGCCTGTTGGGGTGTCCTGTTGGCCTCAGAGCTGCCTGCTTTGACGCCAGACCTGTGGTGTGAGAGACCTTGGGACACAAGGACCAGATGGACCATCCTCCATGCCAAGAGCTGAGCTCTCAGGTTCTAAAGCCAGGCCTGACTTTCCACCTGCTCCTACCCTGCCTGCACCTCTTCTATCCCCAGAGTCATGAGGGCCCATCTATGGATCCCACCCAGCCTTGGCCCCAGACCTCACCCTGCATGACTCAAGGCCTGTTCACTCAAAGGCAGCCCATTACTGGGACCTCAGCAAAGCCAGGCCTCAGTCCCATCTATCTCAGGGTCAGGCTAGAAAGGGGAGGTGGCTCATGGTCCAAAGAAGGCCTGGCCCCAGAGCCAGAGCAGTGCCCATCTGACCCACCCATCTCAGGGCCCCAGGACCCCTTGGGCTGCTCTGGCCAGGACAGAGTTCTCAGGAACAGGCAGGTCCCTGCTGAAGTAGCCAGACATTCCAGGAAGCCTGTGTAACTGAGTCCGTCCCCCTCGGGTCCGTGGGGAGTGCTATTTGGGCCCCATGCCTACATCTGTGAGGACATGGCCTAGCAGTTCTTGACCCAGGAGGACGCCCACCACGCCTTTGGATGCTCGTCCATTGCCGTTTTGCTGGGCCGTGTGTTTTTGCTGTGTGAGGCCAAGCTCCCTCCTCAGTTGTGTCATCATCTCAGGAACTGGAGAAATGCAACCCAATTCCAAACCTGAAAGTCCACTTTGGTCTAATGTTGTTCTCATGAAATTGCCTCATGCTCCCACAGCCCAGGATCATCTCAAGTCTGAAACATCCTCCCACCTGCTCTTGCAGTGTCCAGCGTGAGATAAGCCCATGGGCCCTGGGGGGTTTCCATCCTGCCCGTCCTGCTTCCTCACCACCCTCGTAAGGGTGTTATAGCATGCCGGACTTTGCTATTTTAGTGACCTCTAGGATCCCAGTGGTAATAAAACCCAGCACATGCCATCTTTGCTCTGCACTGGGCTGAGTTACACATGTAATGTGTGATACCACAGAAGCTTCAATAAGCTGTGGGAAACTGAGGCTTTAAGGGGCAAAGCAGAAGCTGCCACTTGGAGGCAGCAGAGCCAAGCACCTACCACAGGAGTCTGTTTCCACAACTCCACATCTCTTCCAGCTCAGGATCCTCTGCCTGCCTGGTGGCAAGAGTGAGCAGGCAGCCCCAAGGGGGGGCCTCACTTTCTGCCATGCCAGATTCCAACCTAGCAGTAAAGAAGGAAAGAGGGAAGCAGAAAAAGGGCAGCCTCAGACCTGGTCCAACAGCCCATAACAGCTCATGGTATTCCCCACGTTCATCACAGCTTTTATTTTCTGTGTTCTGAAGCTTTAGAGTCTGGGGTCTGGTTAAAGGATGCTCTTCCGCGTCAGCCAATT